CTCAGGAGGCTCAAGAGACTGAAGCAGGAGGATTACAAATTCAAAGCCACCCTCAGCAACCTAGGGAGACACTTTCTTTTAAAAAAAAAAAAAAATGAAAATAAGAGCTAGGGATGTGGCTCAGTTGTTGAGCGCCCCTGAGTTCAATTCCCAGTACTGGGGAAAAAAAAAGAAAAAGAAAAATTAACAGAAAAGCATGTGTGTTTTATTTTCCTTTGAGATAACTCTTTTGAGAACAGCTTCTTTTATTCTTCTTCCAGCTTTGAAATGAGTCCTGAGAAGTATATGGTAGATTCACTGACCCTACCTTTTTCCACAGAGATGGACAGAGACATATGTGCGTTGGTCTCCAAAGGGCACCTACCTGGCAACCTTTCATCAGAGAGGCATTGCTCTTTGGGGTGGAGAGAAATTCAAGCAAATCCAGAGATTCAGTCACCCAGGGGTTCAGCTCATTGACTTCTCACCTTGTGAAAGGTAAGCTGGTAGCCTTGTTAGCAGCCTTCTATGGTTAATTTTTTTTGTACCTGGAATTGAACCCCGTGGTGCTTAACCACTGAGCCACATCCCTATTCCTTTTTATTTTGATAGGATCTCACTAAGTTGCTTGCTAAATTGTGTGGCTAGCCTTGAACTTGTAATCCTCTTGCCTCAGCCTTCTGAGTTGCTGGGATTAAAGGCATGAACCACCATGCCAATCTCTAGGGATAATTTTTTTGCAGGGGGCAAAATTTTTTTTTTTTACCAGGGATTGAACTCAGGGGCGCTCGACCATTGAGCCCCATCCCTAGCCTTATTTTGTATTTTATTTAGAGTCAGGGTCTCACTGAGTTGCTTAGTGCCTTGCCATTGCTGAGGCTGGCTTTGAACTCGAGATTCTCCTGTCTCAGCCTCCCAAGCTGCTGGGATTACAGGTGTGTGCCAACGCACTCTACTCTAGAGATAATTTTTAAAACCTTTTTATCTTGTGGTAATTTCAAACTTAAAAGGAAAATTGTGAGAAGAATACAAAGAACTTCCATGAACTTTTTCTACTGAAATTCTTCAGTTAGCGTTCTGTTACTATTGCTTTGTCATTTTCTCTGTGTGTGTTGTAAAACTTTTTTTACTTGAGCTTTTTGGGAACATAGCAGTGTGTGTAGTTTAGCATTATGTAGTTTCCCCTTAAATGTAGTTTCACATTATTACAGTTTTATTTTCTTATTACTATCTTATTTATAAATTAAACATCATAGATATGTGGCATAGAAAAGATAAACAAGTATATGTGGTTTGGTATGAGGCGTTAGACATAGTTGCAAACTCTGTACCTAGGCCTGGTTAAGATGTAAATGTTGTGTATGGTAGTTGTGACTCTGAAGACATCTTTCCCTGTCTTTTGATTTTCATATTGACTTTTTAAGACAGAATCAGATATCCTTAAAACTCTTTTTTTTTTTTAAGAGAGAATTTTAATATTTATTTTTTAGTTTTTGGCGGACACAACATCTTTGTTTGTATGTGGTGCTGAGGATCGAACCCGGGCCACACGCATGCCAGGCGAGTGTGCTACTGCTTGAGCCACATCCCCAGCCCCCTAAAAACTCTTTATGTTCTGGACCAGTCTGATTATTTGAGGCATCATTTAACTTATTCAGTCTTATGGTTTTTGTAAGCTAAATTCTGGTGGATATTTCTTAAAATTGATATAATAGTTTTTATGTAGTGTATTTGGAGCACCCAATTAATTCCTAACCATTTTATTTATGTCTGGTACAAAGTAATCGATGTGTCTCATTTCAGCAGCAGTATGTTAAAACTCATAGAGACACTTAGCCTGAGACATACAGGCATACCAGGATTTATCTACTGTGAAGCCTTTCTCAGTTCCTTCAGGCAGCTAGTTCCACTTGTATTCCTGTAACTTGTCACATTAAGTTATAATTGATTTGTTTACACATTTGTCTAGATCTGCTTGAACAGAGTCTGGGATTTCTCATTCATTATTGGTGAAATGCTTGGATGGTTGGATTCTTTGATTATATAAATTGCAGTAGGAAAAGTCTATTTTTAGTTAAGGGCTTTATCAGTTGCTGTAGTTTAAGGACAGTCTAAAAGATCCAAATAGGGAATTTCATACCTGGTGGTAAAGGTGACTCAAGCTGTGATTTTTAAATTTTTTATTTATTTTAAATTTTTTTAGTTGTAGTTGGACACAGTATCTTTATTTTATTTATTTTTATGTGATGCTGAGGATCGAACCCAGTGCATCATTCTTGTGTGGCAGTCACTCTACCACTGAGCTACAACCGAAACCTTCAAGCTGTCATTTTTAATTTGGCTGATTAATCTGGTGTTAGAGCCACACCAGGAAAAGATTCAGTCATTGAAAGCCCTGAAGAAACTGTTTGCCCTGCCTTTCTCAGTCTGCTTGCTTCTGCTTTTCTGCTGCACATTGTGAAGAGGGGGCAGTCTGGTTAGGAAATCTGCACTATGTGTGAACAGGGACCAGGTGTTAGGTAAATAGTTGATGTTTCCCTTTGGAGGTATACTTGATTTCCTTTGTAGGTATATTTGATTTTTGGATCCTGTGTCCATCTGTTCTGCTTAACAGTGGTAAAGATGCTGTGAGAATCGCCCACTGCTCCTTTTCTGGGCCAACCTACTCACGCAGACTCTCATTTGGGGTGTGTGTAGTCTACCCTGTGCTGATCTTGGTGGAGACCCCATTCTTGGGGACTCTTGCACCACCCTGGTATTGAGAGTGGATGAATGCCTCACACCTGCTCAGGCTGGTTTCTCTCCCACCTTTGAGAATGCTTTTTGAGGGATCAGAGAGAGAGCATTCTAGGGGAACATGGTATGTGGGAACAGTGCTGATCCCTCAAGTCTTGACTGCTTGTTTTGGGTGTTCTATGCCTGTGACTTACTAGAGCTGTCTGTGCTGGAGCTCAGCCTTCAGCCCCCACCAAGGGGAATCACATTCATTGTACACCAAGTCACAACTTCACTGTCTCCTTCTCTTTCAGATACCTGGTGACTTTTAGCCCACTGATGGACACTCAGGATGACCCTCAGGCCATAATTATCTGGGACATCCTTACTGGGCACAAAAAAAGAGGATTTCACTGTGAAAGCTCAGCCCATTGGCCTATTTTTAAGTGAGTAGATCAGAGCAGTAAACTGTGTGTAGCTGTTTCTTTTTTCATTAAGGTAGCCTGGCACTTCTTTTTTCTTCTTAGGTGGAGCCATGATGGTAAATTCTTTGCAAGAATGACGCTCGATACCCTTAGCATCTATGAAACTCCTGTGAGTGATTTTAAGGATCTCAAAGACAGACTAAGGTGTCTGTTGCTTATAGTTGTCAGTACTCTTGCTCAAGGATATAATGCTTTTCCTTAATCTGGTGTAGTGAAGGGAAGGTGGGGCTCGACACACACCGGGTGCAGGTGCTGTACTCTCCCAGTTTCTCATGTTCTGGGTGGAGCTCTTGAATGTTTTCTGCCTTGAATTGTGTGCTTTAGGCAGTGGCTTTGGAAGTGTGTGTTTCACTTTTGGGTAGCGGGGAGGTGGTTTTGCCCTCTTTACCTATTATCCTTGGTGCTTATACTGTTCCCCAGGTAGACTCAGTGGGTACTCATTCCCTTTTTAAATAATTACATGTACTATTGAGACATTGGCATGATCTAATTCAATTGTAATCCTCATTGGTTATTTTTTTTTTTTTGGGCAGTCAATGGGTCTTTTGGACAAGAAGAGTTTGAAGATTTCTGGAATAAAGTAAGTAAAAATTTATGTTAGATTGGTATAAATGTGCTCTGGCTGCTCTAATAAAACATCATAGAGTAGGTGACTTCAACAGAACTGTATTTTTCTCAGTTCTGGAGTCTGAGATAAGGGACCTACAGATTTGGTGTGGGTGAGGGCTTCCTCAAAGGTGAATGTCTACTCCCTAACCTCGAATTATGAAAGGGTACTAAGCTAATTCACTAGGGCCCCAGCCTCATGACTCATGTCTTGGGCTGTACCTGTTTTTGAACTGGAGACTCTTCAGGTACGGAGGCTTCAGCTTCTTACAGATGAGCATTGGATGAAAGATCTTCCCTATTGGTCCAGTGATCTGGGAAGTGGGAGTGGTTAGGCACCAGTGAACCACATCGTGTTCTCATTGTCATGGACAAGCATTTATGTTTTTATTCATCCGAATGCTCTTGCCACTGTAAACTACCCCTAGTCCAAGGATGTTGATATATCTTACTCCTTTTGTGTTTCCATTCTTTGGTATAATTTGGGTTTATAATTAATAATGAAATCAGGACCTGGCTCCCAATAAATATAAAACAGGATTTTGCACATAAAAAGATGTTCTTCAATATAGAGGAATTCACAGATTGTTTGTTAAAAATAGCCACTTTATGGGGAAATTTATAGGGTGGAGGGATTTACACCAATTCTTCAAGTTTTGACTTGAGTGCTTTCCCCTTTTGCACCCTAATTAACCTTTAAATTTCATGTAGCTAGATCCATTATCCTAAAATTAATTTTACTTGCCTTGTAGCAGCAGTACTTGGTGACTAAGAGTGTGGGAGTCAAGCTCCTATGTGACACTGAGTAGGATTAGTAACATCTGTTTTTCTTACAGTCAAAATGAGTGTAACAAAGCCTCAGGGTTATAAGGACAGCTAGACTTCACACAGAGTACCTGCAACAGTCTGGAATGTGCTGTGTATGGTGAACTAGGTATCAGATTAGCTGGTCCATATGCTAGTGTAGCTTTTACAGAGTGAGTTCTGTTCTTTCCTTTTTCAGTTTTATAATAATTTAGTTTTTGTATAACATTTTATTTTCTTTGTCCTGTAGAGACTTTTCTTGGTCTCCTGGTGGTAACATAATAGCCTTTTGGGTCCCTGAAGACAAAGACATTCCAGCCAGGGTAACCCTGATGCAGCTTCCTACCAGACAAGAGATCCGAGTTAGGAATTTGTTTAATGTTGTGGACTGCAAGCTGCATTGGCAAAAAAATGGAGATTATTTGTGTGTTAAAGTAGATAGAACTCCAAAAGGAACCCAGGTAAGTGGACATCAGAGGGAATAGGTTGTTCCTTATACTTGGTTGTAAACTAGTTGGTCTTTTTTTTGGAGGATGTTAGTGGAATTTTTTATTGTTTAGATTTTGGGATTATTTTCAGCCCCACTTCATACTGAAAGTAGTTAGCTGACATACTTTAGTAAGAACTCTTTGACACAGTCTACCTGAGAAATATAACTGACACAGTCTACCTGAGAAATATAACTTCTTTTCTCCATGAAATAACTTTCTGGTCTGTATTTATTGTCTTTGACATGGAAACTCTGAGGAGATGGAGGTTTTAGTGTTTTGGTTTTTTGTATCAGGGATTGAACCCAGGGGTACTTAACAACTGAGCCACCTCTCTTGTCAACCCTTTTTAAATTGTATTTTGAGACAGGGTCTCATTAAATTACTTAGGGCCTTGCTAAATTGCTGAGACTGGCTTTGAACTCATGATTCACCTGCCCTCAGCCTCTCAAGTTGCTGACATTACTGGCATGTGCCACTGTGCCCAGTGAGGCTTTATTCTTTTAAGCCTGTTCTGTTTTATTTTTAAATACAGAAAACATTTTCTTTACATAGTTCCATACCCAGATTTTTTATTTGTACCATTTTATTATTTGCCTTATCAAATAAATTACCTGAATTTTCCTTTTAGTGGAATTATTCACCTTCCCTTTCCATTAATTTCACTAGTAGTTGAATAACTATTTAAAACATTGTATTGCTTATTTTATTGTTTTGAGGGCAACATTTGTTTTCATGAATCATGTAATCAATATTCAAGGTAGTTCTCCTTTAATGAGACATAGAATCTTATCCTCATATAAGATAAGATTGGCTAGGCATGCCTGAGTAACTGTAATTCAGGAGAATATCAGATTTCTAGGAAGGACAATAATGGAATTAGAAAAGAGTTCACAAAATGTCAGTAATGATAATGTCTTGGAGAAGGTTGTATATGAGATTTGAATTAGGAAAAAATAATCTCTTTAATATACAAGAAACAAATTTGATAAAACCATCTGGATTATAGGAAAGTTGTAGCTTTTTTATTCGTTATTACCCATATGATAGTAAAGGGGGGGTAGTTGTAAGTTAGTTAGAATGAGGAAATATTTAGTACACATTTGGAACTTCTTTGCCTGAGAGAGTGTACTGTCTGAAAGTATAAAAGAGGATCAACAAAAGCTTGAATAAATCCATGAATGACAGACATGGTTGGGTATGAAGGCCAAGTTCAGGGCGTGCTCCTCATCTCTGAGCCTTGAAGTAGCAAAAGGTCACCATCAAAGTCATTAATTTTTTTTTTCTTAAGGTGCAGTTAACACGATACATGATAAAACTCACCTTTTAGTGGTAAGCCAGTTCAGTGGCTTTTAGTATATTTACAAGGTCATATAGCCACCACTGTTAATTCTAGACCATTTTCTTCACTCAGAAGAGAAACTCTGTATCCATTAGCAGTTACTCTCCATATCCCTCCTCACTCAGGACATCTGGTAATCTACCTTCTGGCTCTATGGATTTTCCTATTTTGGATACTTTCCACAGTCTGTCACATCTTTTATTTCACATCTTCACAGTTCATCCATTTTGGCATATGTAAGCATCCATTCTTGTTTATGACTGAATAATTCTTCTTTCATGTACACTTTTGGATGTTGGCTGTGGTGAGTAGTGTAGTGCCCTGTTTTTGGACATACTGCTGCTTAAAGATCGGTGCAGATTGTTCCACTGTATCAATGTAATTTGGTCTCTGTTAATGGACCTTAAAGGGCACTTGGGAACTTCTTTAAACAAGCCACAGTGAGTATAGTTCAGGGTAGTTAGAGTCAGCACAGGTCTCCACTGTTCTCTGCTGCATTTGTGCCAATTTATACTCATAAGCATCAGGCAGCCTTCTTCACGGGAGAATTTTAATCCCATCAGTTGTTTGGGCGTGGTTTACTAGTTGTAAGAATTTATTCTTTTATTAAATTCTTTAAGTCTTTTCTCCTTTCAATTTCCAGAATGTCACCCCTCCCTTTTTTTTTTTTTTTTTAAATCAGGGTGTTGTCACAAATTTTGAAATCTTCCGAATGAGAGAGAAACAGGTACCAGTGGATGTGGTTGAGATGAAGGGTAAGCTTCATTTTATTGTCTTCTGGTGGGATGGGCCTCCTCCTGTACTGTTTTGCTCTTGACTTCTGCAGCGTTCAGCTGACCCCCTAAACAATTGTAAAGAGTGTACTTGCTCTGTGAACAGCAATCTCTAGACCTGAGCACGTGGAATTGCAGTGGCTTTTGTCTTATTCAACAAAAAACAGCCTTTAGGTTTTATAAATGCTGGTTAAAGTTGCCCCACTTTTTCCCCTCACACCTCTGTGATCTGTAGCACAGGAGCCAGGAGGTGTAGTTGTTTTCATACTTAGAAGAGAACGTGTGAAGAATGGGTTTTCATTCCACATTTAAGACGAATCACAAGTGGTGTCTCAGAAAATAAAAGTAGTTCTTGATCTAACAAGAGGCAAGCCTTTTTTGTTTTTGTTTTTTGAAACCTTAAAGAATATATATGTATCTGATTTCTTGAATGAGTTTCCTTTTTACTTTTTGGTGTAAAAAGGGTCACTTTACCATGGAGTTATACCTCCAGTCTTCTGTTTTTATTTTTACTTTTTTTATGTGGTGGTGCTGGGGATTAAACCTAGGGCCTTGTTTATTCGAGGCAAGCACTCTACCAGTTGAGCTTATCCCCAGCCCTATTTTTAATTTCGAAACTGGGTCTCACTAAGTTTCTGAGGCTGTTCTTGAACTTGTGATATTTACAAAACTAACTTTATTTCCCTTGCTTAAGATTTGACGTTTGAGGGCTGGAGTTGTGGCTCAGTGGTAAAGTGCTTGCCTTGCATGAGCAAGGCCCTGAGTTCAATCCTCAGCACCACATAAAAATAAATAAATAAATAAATAAATAAATAAATAAATAAATAAATATTGTGTTCATCTACAACTAAAAAATATTTTTAAAAAATGATTAAACGTTTGACTCATGTGTGTATCTTTGTGTGTATACTGTGGTCTCTGAGGTTGCGAGCAGCAATAGTCAAAATAAGGAATCTAACATAAATTCCCACTGTGTATGTTCCCAGTGAATAATTATCCATGTTTCACTGTTAATGAAAACCTGGCTTGTAATAGGGTTCTTTACTGTCACGTACAGTGCTGTTTTTGCCTTTGGGAAATTACTATGTGTTCTGTTTTGTTGTTATTGTTCTTCCATGAACAAAAGGAGAAAATACAGAAATGAGAAAATGGTGAAATGTGGCCATTGTGTCAGGGCAGAAAAGTCATAAGATTCTGCTGCAGGGGACTGGGGTTGTAGTTCAGTGGTAGATCACTTACCTTGCATGCATGAGGCACTGGGTTTGAATCTTACCACATAAAAATTAATAAATAAAGATATTGTTTCCATCTACAACTAAAAAAAAAATGATTCTGTTGCAGGTCTAGCATTGAGTATAGGAAGGGAGTGTCCTCAGGCCCACCAGACTTGGCCAGATCACTGTGGGTGTGACTCTTAGGAAAGCAAGAGCTTCTGGGATGGAGGATGAGTTTCACCTAAAGCATCTCATGCAAATTAGATCAGTTTCTTTTGTCGCTTATGATGAAGTCTTGTGTTGCCCAGGGTGGCCTGGAACTCCTGGGCTCAAGTGACCTTTTTGCCTCAGCCTTAGAGTGCTGGGCTCCAGGCATGCACCACTGGGTTCAGCCAAGTCTGTTGCTTTCAGCTTCTGTAATAGTTGCCTTTTCTTGCTGTCACTTGTTCTGTGGGCCTTTTAGTAAATTTTAAGAACTTTGGGGGCTTTTAATCTGGTTGAATAGTGAACATCTTAACTGATTAGAATGTTCTCGTAAATGATCACAAAGGATGCTAACTTTTTTATTGATTATAGAAACCATCATAGCCTTTGCCTGGGAACCTAATGGCAGCAAGTTTGCTGTGTTACATGGAGAAGCTCCACGGATATCTGTCTCTTTCTACCATGTGAAGAGCAATGGGAAGATTGAGCTCATCAGTAAGTGGCCTGGCCCATCTTGGGCCTCCTTTCCTTGACAGATGAGCGTAGGTGATAGGATTTGGTTTTTGCCAAGAGTGAGTGGTGTACTGAACTGGGCACACTTCTGAGCAGGCCTGAGTTTGATGTAAATAAGGCAGCCATGGTTCAGGTGATGTGCATTTATTAGTAAGGCTGAGAGTCTTCATGGGAGGGAACTTCATGACCACAGAGCCTAAGCTTCTGTGCCCTGGCTTTTTTTATAACTTGGGTTTTCTCAAACCCCATCTTCTTTCATTGGTCTGAGTGAAGTTATATTTTGTCCTTTTATAGCTGGGTGTTTCGGGGGGGTGGGGGGGTCACTTGATTGCATACATGTGCATGTCACTTGGCCTTCGGGGTCCTTCTGACCCAAGGCCTGTCATGTCTCTGATCACCTGATGGGTACCATGATCCGGAATGATGAATATTTTCAATAAGGGCAATTTTTTGTCGAATTGCCTGCTGAAATTTTAAAAAAAAATTTTACACACATATAATTTTTATATATGTATATAATGTTCTATGTATAATGTTCTACACCTAAAAAGAACTCTTGTGCTCTTTTTCTTCTTTTTTTTAAAGTATAGATCGCATTTTAGATGTACCTAAATGATGGATTTTCTAAAATTGTTTTTCAGAGATGACCAAATGGTATGATGTGTGTGTGAATTCTGTATGAGTCCGTTTTTATCAGACCTAGCCTAGAGCAGTAATGATGTATCTGGGCTATAGAACCATGCATAGGCTCCTCATTGGCACCTCCTTTCCTTTCAGAAGTGTTCGACAAACAGCAGGCAAACACGATCTTCTGGAGCCCCCAGGGGCAGTTCGTTGTGCTGGCTGGTCTGAGGAGGTGGGTCCTGGTTTTGTATCTGCACCCTGACCCAGGTCTGTGGGTTGTAGCAGGCTCTATGTCCCTTGTCTCTTGCTTAAGAGATGAAATGCTATCTTTGAATTGTGTCACTGTCACAAACTTGGGTGAGATCAGGCAGATTTTATGGATGGGTATGAACATCCTTCTGTGATTGAGCAAGGGACCTTCCCAGCAATCCAGTTACCCTCATGTGAAGTCCCACATCTTCTAGCATGACTGCTATTTAATTAGATAGCTGTGAGATTATCTTTTAGCAATGAGAACTTTTCAGTGTCTCTTTTCCCTCACTTCCCTACCATACCAGTTGAATATTTAGAAATAGTAAAGATATTTAGCATTTTACACCTCAGTTAAAATGAACATCAGTTTGTTGCTTAATTCCCTTGCTATTGCAAAGAGTAGTTGTTACTCCACTTTGGGAGGCGTGGTTAACCTTGGTGCACTTCTTTTCAGAAACAGTAGCATAATGCCCCACAACCAGCAGTGGTCAGTTGGCTTCTGGTCTCTGCATATTGCCCTGGCCCTCATGCCCCTCAGAGCAAGAAAGTGGGAATGAATATATGGAGCCTGACTGCTGTGTGTTGTCTCTGCAGTATGAATGGTGCCTTAGCATTTGTCGACACTTCGGACTGTACTGTCATGAACATTGCAGAGCACTACATGGCCTCTGACGTTGAGTGGGATCCAACTGGGCGCTATGTGGTCACTTCTGTGTCCTGGTGGAGCCATAAGGTAGGGGCTGTGAAGCCTCAGCAGGAGAACCAAACTGACTGTTTGGGGACCTTAAAAAAAAAGAGCGTTGTGCCTTTCCCATCCCATCAGAGAACATTGGCATTCTTAATTTTTTAATTTTTTTTTAATGTTCTTTGTAGTTGTATATGGACACAATATCTTTATTTTTTGTTTATTTATATGTGGTGCTGAGGATCGAACCCAGGGCCTCAGATGTGTGAGGCAAGCACTCTACCACTGAGCCACAACCCCAGTCCCTTCTGTTCTGTCTTTGACAAAAGAGCTAAGGTTGGTGTCAGTGAAAGGAGAATTCAGGGATTGTAGAAAAGGTGGAGCCTGGCACAGGAGCAACATCTGGGGAGAGTCATATCCTAGGCCTGGGATTCTGGAGAAGGGTGAGATTGTGTTACTCACACGCCTTTTGGGGGAGAGTAGTATGGAGGTACATCCCAGCTGAGCAGTTTCCTCTGGAGTCTCACAAAAGATTCATAACCTGAGGACTTTTCAAGGGAGTGTTTCTCCCTGCAGGGCCAGTCTGCAAGAGTTCAAGTACATCTCCCCACCTCAAGTTCATTGTGCCAGGTCTTCCAAGAACTTCTCTTTGTATTTAATGAGTCTCTTGTTGGTGTATGAACATCTGACCTGATCGTCGCAGATGGAACCTTTGTCATCAAATGGGGTGATTCTGTTTAGTGAGGCAACAAACTGGTAGGAACACCAACTTCCCAGATCTCTCTGGGAACAGTGTCTTGAGTCACAGTCTCTGTGTTTAGATTAGAGTGCCTGGTCAAGGCCCATGTCCAGACCTGTTCAGCTGTCACCACAATAAGGCCTACCTTCACACCTACTTAAGATCCTTATAAACTGCTGGCCACTGTTCTGGATAACTCACTTAGCTAAAGAGTAATGAGGCAGTGAGGAGTCATACCAACACATGAGCTAAGACACTGCATCCTGCATTAAGGAATGAAAAGACAATGTGGCTGGTGGTAGGTGACTTGCATTCTGGGGCAAGTTCCTTATTGCAGTAGGAATAAACAGGCTTATGCTTTCCTAAGTACTCTATAAGCTGTGTTCTGCGGTTCATCTGTCTCGTTTGTTCACTGTCTTGGTTACCCCTGCTGAGGGGCCCTTGTTTTTTTCCCTATTGGATCTCAGATACCCAGAATGTCATTGTGCAGCTGCCAAGGTTGCTATTATGTGCAGTGAAGGTTCCAGGGTCTTTTGTCTCCCTGCTGGAGCAGTGACTCACAGCACACACTGTGTTGTAGGTGGACAACGCTTACTGGCTGTGGACATTCCAAGGACGCCTTCTGCAGAAGAATAATAAAGATCGCTTCTGCCAGCTGCTGTGGAGACCACGGCCCCCCACACTTCTCAGCCAGGAACAGATAAAGGTGTGGGGTCTCTTGAGCTTCAATGGAAGCAGTGTGGCCTTGTTTTTTCCCCATGATTGTGGAGGGTAGAAACAGGATATTTCTGGACAGGCCTTTGAAGAGATTCAAGAAGAGTGGGGACTAAATGGAAAAGAATAGTTTCAGGATTCTCAACATAAATTTTCGGGTTGTTTAAGGAAATTCCGCATTAGCTGGAAGGGGTGAACAGAAATGCTAGGAGCTGTTAACAATCTGTATGGGATTAGGAGAAACACATCTGGGATTTACATAATTGTTAAGTGGGTCAGTGGTATTAGACCAACACTAAAGAGAATAGAAATCCCAGGAAAAAGTCACTCAGAATGAAGTGAAAGGGAAACCATGGTGTTCCTCGTTGCCCCAGGTGACTCGCTCTAAAATCACTGAGCGTTGTTTCATGTTGGCAAATTTGAAGGCTGCGTTTGTAGTTCTTGCTTTAAATGTTAAACCCTGAGTGACGTGTTTTTGTTTCAGCAAATTAAAAAGGATCTGAAAAAATACTCCAAGATCTTTGAACAGAAGGACCGTCTGAGCCAGTCGAAAGCATCAAAGGTAAGCCTCACTCTGAAAACTGAGGGGAATGCCAAAACTGCCATGGCACTGGAGAACCAGTGTGGGTATAGGGGAGGGTGTGCTACTAGTCTCCATGGGACAGATGGGGGCGCTGCTCCTTCCCCGGACCATTGACCTGTTCTAGGGCAAGGCAAGGGGGTAGGCCAGCAGCATTGGGTTTGGTGTCCACCTTGACCCTGTTGCTGGCTACTTTTTCAAATATAGGGTCGGGAGAGGGTCAGGAAGAACACTGAGAACTGACATATTCCTTGCGGGAAGAGTTCTGTGTAAATGGAGTGGTGGGTACATCGCTCAGTAGGATGCAGGCTGCTTGTGGCAGAAAGCTTTCACTTAGGTTAAACAAAAGCACATGAAGATGAGTTATGTTAATTCTGTGACTTTCCATTTACCTGTACTTAGGAATTGGTGGAGAGGAGGAGAACCATGATGGAAGATTTCCGGAAATACCGAAAAACGGCTCAAGAACTCTACATGAAGCAGAAAAATGAACGTCTAGAACTGAGAGGAGGTAACAAAGGTTCTGAGGGTGTCCAGCAGTGGAGAGGGCTTCCCAGCCCATGGGTGGTGCGACTCCTTAGTGCAGTGCCTCTCTCCTACGCCAGGCTGTGGCTGTAGCTTCCGCAGCTGCCGGTGAGCATCTATGATCCAAGGGTCAGCACACTTTGTCCTCTCAGGGGTGGACACTGACGAGCTGGACAGCAACGTGGATGATTGGGAAGAGGAGACCATTGAGTTCTTTGTCACTGAGGAGGTGATTCCTCTTGGGAACCAGGAGTGACCTGAGCACTGTGTGGTAAGACTGTCCTTGCTGTTTTGTTGCCCCATGTTAGAAAATGTTGTGTTGAAGGTGGGTGGAGTGGGCCTCAGGGTCAGCCAAGACTGTGTGTGTGGAATGTGAAGAGCAAGTTCAGAGCTGCTCTAGGGACCTGACAGAACACCTGGTGAGTTAGGAGAAGATGTCATGAGACACCTTGCATTATGAATGAGGTTGATGGGAAGAGACAGAAGTCCAGCCTGACCATCTCTGGAGGGCTTTGCTAGTGGACAGCCTCAGGGTGCCCACAGGAAGAAGAGTTGGGCACAGCAGCTGACTCCCTATGTCAGTCACTGTCAGTTCTGAGACAAAACTGCTTAGTGACTGTCTCTTGTCCTCACTTCATGGCTGTCTAGGGGCAGGAGTACTAAGCCACACAGTTCCTTTGTGCTTGGGTGCTTTGTGGCTACCTGCGGTGGGCCATGGACTCAAAGGATGGTGTTTGCGCTGGGAGCTACCAAGGGGCCTGCTTGGCCAGGAGGGCAGCGGCACCTCCTGTGGTTCACCTGTCCCTTTGTTGCAGCATCACCACATCGTGCCCTGAAGCGGAGGCCATCCTTTTGCAGAAAGCCTGCACAACTCTGAATCTGCACCTGTGCTCTCTCTCACTCTGGGCTGTGAACGCACCTGGGATTCTTCCATCCTGACACTTTTTTGTGCCTTTAAACCCCTGGTGTGCACAGTGGGGAGGTTTCGAGGCACTGCTTTGGTTTTTCTCATCTGGATTTGTCAACCACCAATGGTTGCCGAGCAAGACTCGCAGCAGTGCTCCTGTCGTCTCCTCTCCTCCTGCGGTGGTGTTCCAGGGGTTCCACCTGCTGCTGAGCTGAGTTTTAGTTCAAGGACTCACTATTCTCTATGTGGGCCAGTGTTGGGTGCGTCCTGGTGACTGGCAGGGAGACAGCATACTGCCTGTGTCCCACCAAGCTCAGAGGTGCCATGGCCGTGGACTCCGTGGTGCAGGTGTGGCAGGTTCTCTCAGCAGGTTGAATGTGGAAATAAAGCAACCCTGTATGAAAACGCTGTCTTTTCTCCTCTTTGCATGTAGGTAAGCGCCTTGACTCTGGTGCCTCTGTTCCCCTTCTCCCAGGACTAAGGGTCTGTAGCCAGGCCTGGTGCCCGCAGGGGAGCTGGCAGTCAGTCACTTCACACATACACTTCGCTTGCAGGGATCCTGATGGCAGCTCGGAGAACCCAGCCTCCCACCCATTCTGCTGCCTTTGCAGCCATGAGTTGGTTCAGTGGGTCCAAAATAGTTTCTTCATTCTATGGAAAAAAAAAAAGTGCATGTCATTTCTGAGAACCCTTTAGTCTTTCTGGAGTTAGAAAGTTTGTATTGAATGCATCAGTTCAGCCACTGTGATGTCGTCACAATATTTACTTTTACTATTGAGAAGGGAGTGAACAGATCCCTGTGGCTTTAGTCATTTTCTCTGTAGTGTCTTGCCACCCATCTGTGCCTTGTGATATTGCATTCTCTCCCCCCTCCTTCCCTGCATCTCACAGAGCCTAAAGTTATGCTAAAATAGCAGGACACATGGGAGGGGCTTTCTAGGATCCACAGCCATGCAACATCTGCAAATCTAAGGCATGCTTGAGATGGCAGGATAGGCTGATCTACAGGCAGGGACAGAGGCCAAGTACTGCCCTTGAGACACTCAGTTGGCCCCTGAGAGGTTGCTGCCTGGTCCCAAGCTCCTAGCTGAGTGTCCTCAGGAGTGAGGCTGTGCCCCAAGCTTATCTGGCCTGTCATGGAGGCTCCAGGGTGACTGACTGGGTTTCCCTGGGGCATGGAAGGGGCTTTGTACCTTTCCTTTCTTGTGAGACTTCCTCTCCAGGTGTCTCTAGATTCTGTCACTGTTATAGTCCTGCCATGTCTCGCCCCTCAGCACCCATTTTTATAGTATTCCTGTTCACTCTCAGTGCTTCAAACTCTAGAATGCTCTTTTCTAATTTCATGGCAATGAGAAGGCGGCACACTGTTCTATCATTAACAGGTTTTTAACAACTTTTAAAAGTTTTTTCACTGTTTTAATTTGTAATTGTTTTACATGATTTATAAATAAAAGGATTTCTGAAACACTGGTGCTGGCTCTTCTGAAGTAGAGATGGAATTCCCAGGATGACAATTTTTAGGGGAAGTTAACTGATCGTCCCAGAGCCAGAGGAGGGGGTGTCCCCATTGCTTGGGGGCTGTTGGGTGGGCCTGGGCTCTTTGAAACCTTGTCTTGGTCCTGTCTCTATGAAGCAAAGAGTGCTTTGTTCTATTGATCAGCTGGGGCTTTTACTTCCAGGGCAGATAAGCTTGGGGCACAGCAGAGGTTGGGAGACTTAGCTTTTAAAGGGTTGCTGTCCCTCCCTCAAGGGAGGGTATCTGGATACCAAGAAGAGGAGAGGAAAATGACCAAGTGTGAACTGTGCCCTCGCATGAGCCATCCAGTGGTTTTCCAAAAGCAGCACAGTGGTTTATGGAGCAGGAGGGCCTGAGAGCTCCTGGTGAGCTTAAGGGATTGATTAGCTGGGGCTCACATCTGCCAACTGCCCAGCTCTAGTTGGGATCCTGGAGGGGGCTCAGACTTGGGTTTCACAGGCTCTGGCTTTGTGTGACTTCATCAGCACACAAGGGTACTGTCCTGTTTGTAGCGCATCTCTGACTTTGGGCTGGGTCTTCCTGCAACCCCGCTGCCTGCATGGCCTGACAAGTGCAGTCTGCTGCACTAGGTAGGTTCATAGGCAGTGCCTTCCCTAGGGACTACAGTGGAAAAGTTGAGCACAGTGTATAAGCAACGAATACAAGCTGAGCAGCCTCTAATCAGGCCCTGGATGTGCAGATGAACAATGTGGGAGGAGAGTCATGTGGAAAAAGGCATTTACAGTGTGGTTATTTCCTTTAGCTGTTGCTGGTTGTCCCTTGGATGAGAAAGCCCCAAGATGACCATGATCTGCTGCACTGAGGCAGCCCCTGAGGTGGGCTACGGCTCCTGTGTTCAGGGTGGGGAGAAGGGAACTCTACAAAGAGCAGGTGCAGGCCCTGTGACAGGCTCACCATAGACCAGTAAGACCCATGGACATGGGATTGCTATGGCATTAGGTGGTACACAGATAGGAATCCTGTGCTGACTTCCAGTTACTGGCTCATGTGCTCCTGTCTTGGTCTTGGAGAGTTTCTTAAGCATCACCCCTGGGACCCAGCTGATGTCATGGGGCAGGGCGGGGCCGAGTTTAGACTGTAGCTGGCTTTGCTTCTGCCAGGATAACGGCCAGACCCTGTTCTGCAGCATGCCTTCCCACCAGGTTGCTGGCCCTTCCCCAGCCCAGGGTAGCCCAGCCTTGAGGGAGATGGAGCCCAAGGACCAGCAGCTCATGGTAAGCACCCCTCTCTCACCCTTTGTGTCCCCTACCCTCCCAGTTCTCACTTCCCTTACACTCTGAACCTACCACCCTGGGACAATCGCTTAACAGCTGTCTCATGTCCAGGGCCCCACCTCTGCTCCGCCAGAGACCTAGCGACCCCGTGCCCTCCTCACCATGTCTCCAGACTCCTTACCCCCTGCCCTGTGACCCTCCCTCCCCAGGGAACTTGGGACCTGGACCAGGACTCAGATGGGGGCAGGACTGTGCTCCTCAACCCCTACATAGTCCCTATCCAGACCCATCTGTTAAGTGACTTGACCTCAGCTTTTCTGACTTTGGGGAAACTAAAACCAGGGACTGGCCCCAAGTGTGGACTGGTAAACGAGAGACCAGTGATATTGGCCCCAGTTCATATATAGTCTAATTCCAGCCATCTTCCATTTGGGAAGTAGGTGGTTTTTTTTTTTTAGTTGTTCATGACCTTTATTTTATTTATTTATTTGTGGTGCTGAGAATCGAACCCAGTGCCTCACACATGCCAGGCAAGTGTATTAGCACTGAGCCACAGCCATAGCCCAGCTATGTAGGTTCTTCTGAGTGCTCACTTTGGGCCTGGTCACACTCCATAGCTATGTGACCTTAGGCAAATACTTCCCTTCTATGTGCCTCAGTACCTTCTTGTGTTCCACAAGGGTGACATAACCATGTATTCCTCAAAGGGTTGCTGCAAGACATAAATAATTTCATGCCAGTGTTAAGTTAGGCAGGGGCTCGGGTAAGGCTCAGTAGTGGAGCCCTTTGCTTGCATGAGGCCTGGGTTCCATCACCAGCAACACACACAAAAAAACAAAATAGAAGGGAAAAAAATGACTCCAGAGGGCTCCTCCTGCTTCACTGAGTTTGGGACATCAAAGGAGGACAGGAGGGAGTTTGGGCTGGGCAACTTGCTGTTTGAGGAAGAAGGAGCAACTTAGAGGGACTCGTGATCGCACTGCTCCTGTCCTACCCACAGGTGGCGCTTCGAATCCGTCCACTCAATGCAGCAGAGTTGGAGGAAGGAGCCACCGTCATTGCCCACAAAGTGGGGGACCAGGTGAGGTTGGGAGGCACAGAGGCACAGGGTAACTGTGAAGCTCACCCAGCCATGCACATTTACCTGTGTAACTCATTCTCTTAACAAATGCTTATATAGTAGCTCCCACCCACAGGTCAAGTGGAGGCTGACAAGGGTCCTGCCAAGTTTGTTTTGTTTTTATTAATATTGTGTATAATGTTGGGAATTTCATCCGAACGGCTGTGGTAAAGACCTCTGGTGAGACACTGGAGCAGGGCTGGGAGGCAGGAGAAACTAGGCAGAGTGGGCAGCAGGCTGGAGCCTTGAAGCAGCCAGGTGTGGCCTATTTGAGAAGCAGCCAGAGTGAGCAGAAGAGGCTGGGAGAGCAGTTTTAGTAGGCCCAGGACTAGATCTGCAGTCAGACTCCCAAGAGATTCTCCTTCACAGCCGGCTCACTGCCATTGCTAGGGATTTCTCCTTAGAGACAGACTCAGAGCCAAGCTACCAAACGGTTAGCAAAGCTTTTGCCCTTGATTTCCACCTGCAAGAACAAATGCCAAATTTGGGATATGTCATTGGAAAGTGGATGGGTTTTTTCATTTGTCATTAGGAAGGTGTCTTCCATGAAGAATGAAATGTAGCTCTGGAGAGGTGGTTTATGCTGAAGCCTGAAGGACCCAGATCTTGGTGGTGGGCAATCCCTGTTGACAGCTGTCCCCTGGGGTGGGGGTACCTACCCTGATTTGGCAGGTCAGGAAGAAGACAATTGGACAGAACATCTGTGGGGGTGAATGGCTGGCAAAGAGATCGGGGTGAGTCAGCACTGAAGTTGCAGAAAACTAAGCTAAAAACACAAGACTGCTGTTACATTGAGGGAGTCAAAAGTTTTGCAGGAAAGGATGTGGATTTGCTACAAAGGATGTGGGAACACCGAGTGTTAACTCTACTGAAACTTATGAGGTAATAGCATAGTGCAATCAGAGGTGCAACTGTCACCTGATAGCAGTAAGTCAGGAAATGGTAGAGAACTGACAGAGATACCACCCCCAGCATGCTCACGGGCAGATGTGGTGATGTAGCCCCAAGATCAGTGAGAACAGTGGACATGTCAGGCGCAGGGCCTGTGCTTCACACAGGCTCATAGCATCTCGATGTGCACTGTAGATGACTCACTCTGAGAACTGAGTTCACATCACATCATTTCACCAATTCAAAGCACGCCATCCAGGGTGTTTAATTCATCCTCAGGGCTATGTTACCAGCATCTCTATCCAGTGACAGAATGGTTTCCTCACCCCAAAAGAAGGCCCCATTCCTCTTCCCCCTCTTCCTGCCACTGGAAGCCACCAGTCCACTTTTTTTTTTTTTTTATAATGCAAGATGTTACATGTAACATCTTGCATTATAAAAAAAATTTTATAAGAGAGAGAGAATTTTTTTAAGAGAGAGAGAGAGAGAATTTTTTAATATTTATTTTTTAATTTTCGTGGGACACATCTTTATGTGTGTATGTGGTGCTGAGGATCGAACCCGAGCCGCACGCATGCCAGGCGAGCACGCTACCGCTTGAGCCACATCCCCAGCCCCACCAGTCCACTTTCTGCCTCTATTTTATTTAAATGCAATCTTGGAGATGCAGCCCATTGTTTCTTCCATCTAGCCTGAGGTGTATGAAGGTCATCTATGTTGCAACGTGTGTGTGTGTGTGTGTGTGTGTATGTATGTATATATGTGTGTATAAATATATATATATATATGTGTGTGTATATATATGTGTGTGTGTGTGTGTGTGTGTGTGTGTGTGTGTGTGTTTATATATTTAAAAAATCAGGAGTGCTTAACCACTGAGCAACATCCACATCCGTTTTTATTTTTATATTTTTTTGTGGTGCTGGGGATTGAACTCAGGGCCTTATGCATGCAAGGCAAGCACTCTACCAATTGAGCTATATCCCTAGTCCTCCTGTGTATTTTTTGAGACAGGATCTCCAGAGTTGCTTAGAGCTTCCCTAAGGTGCTAAGGCTGGCCTTGAATTTGGCAATCTTCCTCCCTCAGCCTCCCGAGCCACTGGGATTGCAGGTGTGCATCACCCACATCTGGCATGTTTTATTTTAACTTTTTATTTTAATCTTTATTTTATTTATTTATTTTTATGTGGTGCTGAGGATCAAACTCGGCCTCGCACATGCTAGGTGAGTGCTCTACCACTGAGCCACAACCCCAGCCCTTATTTTAACTTTTTATGGTGAAGTAACTTCAGACCATTGAAAAGTTGCAGGATGGGCTGGGGATGTGGCTCAAGCGGTAGCGCACTCCTCTGGCATGTGTGCGGCCCGGGTTCGATCCTCAGCACCACATACCAACAAAGATGTTGTGTCCGCTGAGAACTAAAAAATAAATATTAAAAAAAAGAATTGCCTGGTATTCTTACAGCTTTGAAGCTGTGGACCTGCACATTAAAAAAAAAAAAAAAAGAAAAAGAAAAAAAAAGAAAAGTTGCAGGAGCCCTACATGGCTCCCACATTCCCAGTGTCTAGATTTTCCAAATGTTAACATCTATCCATGTTTGCCTGCTCTCCTATATCCCTGTGGTGCAGACCTTTTTTCTGGAGTCTTGGAGTAAGTGGTGGGCATTAGGGCTCTCCCCACTCAAACATTTTGGCATATGTGTCTTGAAAACAAGAACATTCTTGTAACTGACCTCAGGGAAGTGACCGAAACCAGGAAGTACATGTTGATCTAATATTATCTAATCTAATCTATAGACACTCATATTTTGCTGATTTTTCTCAATAATGTTCTTTATGATAAAAGAAAATATTTTTTTGGTCCAAGAGTCATGCAGCTGATATATAAAATATTTTAAAGTTAACAGGATTCTCAGTTACTCTTTTTTTAACCTTTATTTTATTTATTTGTTTTTATATGGTGCTGAGGATCATACCTAATGCCTCACATGTGCCAGGCAAGTGCTCTACCATTGAGCCATAACCCTAGCTGATATTTTTGAACACCCAGGACTCAGTGATTTCCCACCATCACCCCTCACAGCTCTCAACAGGTGGGTTCTATGATCACAGCCATGTTACAGAGGAAAAAACTGAGGCCTGGAAAGTTGAGGCAAAGGATCCGAGGTCTCCCCACTGGTAAGAAATAGGAATCCAGGCTACAGGGCTCCAGAGCACACTTTACACTTTATTATTATTATTATTTTTTGTAGTTGTTGATGAACCTTTATTTTATTTATTTATATGTGGTGCTGAGGATCAACTCCAGCACCTCACATGTGCTAGGCAAGTTCTCTACCACTGAGCCACAACCCCAGGCCTCCAGAGCATTTACCCCCTTCCTGGCTCTGCTGGGTTAAGAGCTCCTAACAGAGATTCCGTCTGATTTCTCCTGCAACACAAGCCGAGCCTGCAGTGGGTCTGTTCCTGCAATCCTTGGAAGGAGAAGTAAGACACAGGAAAGAGGGTTGGCTTATATTATGGAACAAGTGCTGGCCAGAAGCCAAGAGCAGGCCTGGAGACCTGGACCCAGCCCTGCTACCAAATCCCCAACAACCTCTAGAAGGCCCTTGCCTCCCAGGACCTCTATTTCCAAAGCTGTGAACAGATGGAAGGGTCGGGCTGTGGCCAGATGGTCGGGCTCTTGGTGTTGCCCAGCAGTGTCCCCCAACTCAACGGTTCCTCTCAGGTCCCCACCAGCCAGGATGTGTTTGGCTTCTAATTGCCACTGTCTTCCTCACCTCCCAATTCCCTGGGAAAGGTTCCTTTGAACCTCTCTGTCCCCAGAGAGCCTAATACACTTTGCTTCTTAATTGCGTATTTATGTGAGGTCTTTATGTGAGGTGTGTGAGGTTGGAGACACCTGGTGGAGGTTGGGAGAGACCAGGCTCTCAGAAACAAAGCTATGGATGGAGGGTTTGGATGGTCCTTTTGTTCTCTTTCCTTTTTCTGGCTTCCCCTCCTACACCTGGCCCCAACCAGAGGCAAGGAGAAGGAATGAAAATACTCAGTCACCGTGGGGTGACTACGGTGTGAGGTGGTCAGCCCAGCACCCTATGGTTTATTTTTACGGAAAATCCCTTGTTCTCTTTTGTCCTCATAGTTCATAGAAGGGTTTGTCACACAGGCCTTGGCCCAGGGTGTGCACTGAGAATGCTGGCCTGTTGTGCTGAGCTGGGCTGTACCAAGCGTGGCTGGGTTGCCCTCCTCAGGCTGAGGTTGGAGGGACATCTCTGGGATGAATGTGAATGTGGCTGCAGAGCTCAGCAGACATGGGGTTGCTGACAGTCATGCTTTGGTGGTTCAATAGCAAGAGGCATCACCCCCTCAGAAAGTGAGTGGGGGGGTGCTAAGGTTGGGGGTGGTTTCTCACCACACCACCAATTTGAGCACAAAAGACGTAAGCCCTTCTCGAATCCAGACCTCATCCAGGTGGGTGCCTGAGCTGGAGCCCTTCTGGTGTTCTGACCAGCCCTCCACCTGTTTCATTGTACCCCAGGTGGTTGTGCTTATGGACCCCAATGAGGATCCTGAGGACCCTCTGCGTGCACACCGGTCACGGGAGCGCACCTTCATTTTCGACACTGTTTTCGACCAGCAAGCATCACAGGTGCCCACTCATCTGCCCTCCCCCTGTCCACATTGGGCTGCAGTGCCTTTTGGGAGGGACTGGTGGCCAGGCCATCTCATCGGTCTTCTCCCCAGGTCTCCCTCAGGAACAAGGAGGGTGTGGCCAAAATACCCACCCAGGATTCAAGAGTAGGAGGTCCTTCCATGGACACAGGGGCCACCAGGTGCTGGCACTGCCAGGAGGCTTCTCTTTAGTTCATTCACTCACTACTTCATTCCACAAGGCGGGCTCTGTCCTGCCCCCCATTAAAATACAGTCCCTGCCCCATGTGGCACACATCCCAGCAGAAGAGGCAGATGAGGGCAAGGGGAAAATATGCTTATTTGTGACATCGGCTGTACCAGGCCAGGCAGGAGTGGACAGTGAGGGTCTTTCTGAGGAGAGACATTTATGCTGAGACCTGAGGGAGGAATGAGCCAACATGGAACAGAAGGGGGATCCAGGTGGAAGCTCTGTCATGCCCACTTCACAGGTGGGGTGCCTGTGGCTTTGTAAAGCCACATAGTGAGGCCCAGAGCTGGGCATATGGATCTGGTGTGAAGACCCACTCCTTCAACTTCACATCACTACCACCAGTTAAGGGACGAAACACTGTCCAATGTGTCATCTGCCCCTCCCTTCTGACTGGGACCTGGATACTCTACATTATAGAGGGAGCCAGGGTTCAGAGTATGACAGAGAGAGCCAGTCCTAAAGGCTGGACACCTTCTGGGGTACAGGAATTGGACTCCACACCTCAGTGGAGAACTGGTGGAGTGTTTGGCCATCTTCAGCCTACCACTCTTTCTGACCTACGCTGTCTGCCCATTGGACCCCAGAGGCCAATTCCCATAGATGGCATCTCAGCAAGGATTGCAGAGCTCACCAGAGGGCCTGCTGGAAACACAGTGGCCACCTGCTGGTACTAGGAATGTCCCCCTCGGTTCAGGACTTAATTGGGAAGCAGAGCAGAGCCCCCCATGGCTGTCTGAGCAGGCTGTCTTTCCTCATTCTCAGAGTCTTCATGGCCTCCAGGGTAGAAGGAACTGCTCATTGACAGGCATCAAGTGGCTGCTCTGTGCCATGACTGTGCTCCAGGCCCCAGTAAACCTAATTTGACAAACCTCACAGCAACCCTGTGACACATACAGGAACACACCCTCATTCTGCAGATGAGGAAACAGATCTCTAGAAGTCAGCCACCTGCCTAAGGTCACACAGAGGGCCGCAGACCCCAGATTCTGATTGTACATTTGAAGCTAGAGGGAGGCACTGCCAACTTTGGGGTCTTCCAGCCCAGGCTCAGGGGAGCTGTGACCAGTCAGTGCTACAGGTCGTATCATGAGTGGAGAACAAGGTCCAGAGTGGCCACCCAGGAGGTACAATATAAGGAGTGTCTGCTGTTTCTGTCAGGCTAGTGGGACCTGCAAAACACACCAGCCCTGGAGTGTCTCTCCTTGGACTCCCCTGTGGATAGCGTGTTCACCACCCATACAATCCTGTTGCTTGGCACTGCTGCCTTGTATCATGTTCTACCTGCCTACCATCCCAGTTTATGCTTGTAAAGATGGTCAAATATTCTTCACATACTTCCTAGTCTGTCCCTCCTTCTAGTCCTTTGTTTCTTTTCTGCTCCTCTCAATTCTCTCAGAAGCCCTGGGAAAGACTCACTTGTGTTTGGTAGTTTCATGCATTAGGCCTTCTGGTGGCAGGTCCCTGCTACCTTCTCATTTAATCCTCGTTCAGAACCAGCCTGTGAGACCAGCACTGTCTCACACCATGAGGCTTGGCATGGTGGAGGCAGTGGCCAAAAACTACCCAGCGACAGCCTGGGGTTAGTACCCAGGCATTTCCAACACCAGGCTTCTCTCTAGTCTCCCTCCTGTGTGTTACTGTGCACGTTCAGAGAGAGCAGACATTTGTAGGTTCTGTCCTCGCCAAGCAGTCAGATGGTCAGACTTGGGCTGGACTGTCCTTTGACTAATCTTCTGTCTTCAGGAAGACGTGTACTGTGCCACCATCCAGCATTTAGTGGAAGGCGTCATTTCTGGATACAACGCAACAGTGTTTGCCTACGGCCCCTCAGGTACCAAGCAGGGCTGGTGGCAGTGGGCCCTCTTAACAGCATCAGACCCTGTGTGGGGGTACCCGGCAGCCTTTCAGCAGCTCTAGGGGTGGGTAGAATATTCTTTTTCCACAGATGAGATGCTGCTTAGGGGGGCTTGGGGAACTTCCCCAAGGTCATACAGTCACCAGGGGGGATTCTGGAATTGCACTCAAGCCTATACTTTGCTGCCCACAAGAACCCATAGACTTTCTGTAGTTACAAGTTGTGTTCAACAAGCATTTGCAAAGCTAAGTTACCTCTCATGCCTAGAAACTAGAACCACAGAGGGTTAGGGCTGGGCAGGCCCTGACCTACCACTGTTTAGACAAGGAGACAGGTCCTAAGAAGCACCTTGGTCAAAGTCATGCTGTGTGCATCTGTTCCATTCATTCATTCAATATGCATAACAAGCCCTACCATGTGCCAGGCTTTAGAAGGAAAAGAACAATCTTTTCCTCACCTTTATGTGCAGAGATGAGGGAGACATTGAAGCATCCCTGAGAGGGAGACACCTCCTTACCTAATGCAATGTTAATTCTCTTTATTATAAAACAACGTATCAGGGGCTGGGGTTGTGGCTCAGTGATAGAGCGCTTGCCTCGCACGTGCAAGGCCCTGGGTTTGATCCTCAGCACCACATACAAATAATAAATAAATAAATAATATAGTTAAAAAAAATAAAACAACATGTTAGGCCTGGGGTTGTGGCTCAGTGGCAGAGTGCTTGACTAGCATGTGTGAGGTTATGGGTTTGATTCTCAGCACTGCATATAAATTTAAAAATAAATAAATAAAGGTCTATCAACAACTAAAAAAAAATATTAGAAACAAAACATATCTGAGCCCACTCAGGAATTCCCACCCCTCCTCAGGTGCAGGGAAGACCCATACCATGCTGGGCATGGATGCGGAGCCTGGCATCTACCTGCAGACCCTCACTGACCTCTTCCAGGCCATCGAGAAGACCCGGGACAACATGGACTATAGCGTGTCTATATCTTATCTTGAGGTGGGCCTGCCCACCTGTCCCCATTACCCCATCTCCATTACCCCATGGACATGATGGCACCAGATTAAACAGCTGTATGTGTGAAATCCCCAGTTCTATGTGTTGTCCCAAATGCTGGTTGGCCTATAAAAAGCCTTGGTCCTTGGGGTTGATGTTTTCTGGCAGTTCAAGCCTCCATGGTGTGTAGGTCTTTATAGTTCTTTGCACCAAAGCTACTTTGTTTCAAACTTTCTCTTCTCCCAGATTTATAATGAAGTGATCCGGGACCTTCTGAACCCATCCTCAGGGTTTCTGGACTTGAGGGAAGATTCTAAGGGCAGCATCCAGATTGCAGGCATCACAGAGGTCTCCACCTCCAATGCCCAAGAGGTGAGGATGACGGCAGCCACACACCAGAGCCCACCATCCTCTCCTGCCAAACATCCACCTGCTGAGGTGCTCAGGGCAGACATTACTGATGGATCCCACATGCTTTCCTTGGCCTCTGGTGCTGACCTGGGTCCTTCTCAACATGGTGCCCCAGCAATCACAGCATCAGAATTTGCTTAGGTTCAAATCCATTTGCCATTCTGACCCTAATGATGATTCCCTTAATGAAGGCAGGTTGCAAGTACTTCTCTAGCCCCATCCTCTCTCTCCATCTGCTGCCTCTGCTGATCCTCCCTGGGTATCATGATCAGGGTGCTCAGCTGAGGTTACTGCCTTGAGTTCCGTAGCATAGCAGATGGGTTTTTAGCACACCTGCCAACTCCAGCAAATCTGTACTATTGCCTGGAGTTCCATGCTACAAAGTGTTGTGGAGCTGTTCTGGACTGTGTGAAGAAGGGATAGGTAGTTCACTGGTGGGGTAGAGTACAGGATGGGCAGTGGCCAGAGCCAGGATTCTGCATCTCCTGTTAACTAGTTGTTCAGAATTGCTCCCACGGGTGAGGTGCTGCCTTCCTGCTGTAAGCATCCCAGCCCTGAGGCCATCCTTTTTCTCTTTTTCTGGGTGTTTCTAGAAATGGTGTGTGGCTATGCAGACAGTCCTTGACCGCCTGCCTGCTTCTGTCCTCAGATCATGCAGCTCCTCACCAGAGGAAATCGGCAGCGCACGCAGGAACCCACAGCCACCAACAAGACGTCATCCCGCTCCCACGCTGTGTTGCAGGTCACTGTGCACCAGCAGAGCCGCAGCACAGATCTGGCAGAGGAAGCGCGCCTTGGGAGGCTCTTTATGGTGGACCTGGCGGGCTCAGAAAGGGCATGCCAGGTCCATGCCCACCCTTTCAAATGTCATTATGATCACTTCCTTAGTGTCTTGTCCCCTTCCAGTTTCTGGTGGAACCTTGTCTGTCCCTGATTAGCTGTGTCTCCAGTGCCTAGTGTATCTTTCTGATGGAGAAGAAGCACATGCTAAATGTTGAGGGAAATGAGCCCAGAGATACAGGGGCTTCCTTTGCCACAGGCTCTTCGGGGGCATGAGCCATACATGTGCTTGCCCTTGGAGAATTTGGAGCTCTTGGGATTTGCTTGTGGGCAATTTCATCCAGGGAGGCAGGTCTTTGAGAGTAAGGGTCCTCAAAGAGGCTGTGGGAGCCAGAGGTGATGGGGTCTCAGGGCTGAGCCTAAAAAGGTCCTGAGGAGCTGGGTGAAGTACAAGGAAGAGCATTTCAGCAGAGAGAACAGTGGGGACAGAGAGGCTCTGAGGGGACAATATATGTGACTTGTGTAAGAGGCTACAGGTCCTGCTCCAGGCACTGCAGGGCACCAGCCCAGTGCCCTCCCCAAGTTCCAGGCTCCTTTTTCCTTGCTCCTCCTGTCTAAGTGAGGGCACAAGGCTCCTTAGCTCTTGTCCAGTGGCCTGAGCATTGCTTAAGGGCAGCCTCTAGCCTAGGGCCAGGCCAGAGAAGGAGCTCATGGAGCTGTGTGGGGCATCATTGTCATCAGCAAGTGACACTCCATGTCCCTCTAATTAACCAGGCACTTAAGGTTCATAGTCCATGTGCCCCTCCTGATGTGGACTGAGGTGGGCAGCATTGTGCCTGTGCCATAATGTGGAGCTGTGGCTGGAGTCAATGTGACCTAGACATGAACAAAGGTGATGAGAAGTTACCCAAGCTTTGAACTTGGGAGAGTCTGGCCCAAACCGTGCCATTCTTTCTTTGACACTTCCTTTCTCACTTTGGTTTGCACTGTATGCCCTGGATGTTGGGATGGCGATCTATCACTGCCCTATATCTACCCCTTCCCTAGGTCCCAAGGTTGCTAAAGCAAAGCAGGGCCTGGCCCTGTCAGACTCTTTTAAAATGTATTAACAGAAATTGTAAGGCACAGTGGGGCCAGCAGATCAAGGAATGACTGCCATTCCAAGCTTGTCAGAGTTCCCAAGAGAAGCAGTCAGAGAACAAAGGGAAGCACTGGGTGGTTCAGGAGGAAGTGGGAGCAGGACTGTAGCAGAGACTTTGATGTGGTTCCCCAGGAAGGAACAGGTGAGCAGAACCAGGACAGGCAGACAGAGGGTTGGCCAGTCTGAACAATGCCAGGGTGCTCTGGGACCTGGGTGGGGGCATCCCTAGTTGTCTGTACCTGGCCCTGGATGACTAGGGTAGGGGGATGGTGGCCCAGAGAATGAGGGCCGACAGCAGTGGTGGTTGGGGTATGAGCTATGGATTGGTGAGTTTGCAAGTGAAAAATGAATTCTCAGGTGAGTAGTTTACTGGCTTTAGGAATTGATTAACCCTGGGAGGATGGTCCCCCCAGGGTCAACAAGGCCCCAGATGTTGAAGCATCAGAATGCAGAAAATAGAAGGCATGGTTAGTACAGACAAATCACATACAATGCTGAATGCAGTGGAGGAGAGCCCTGAGCTCTGGGCAGCAGTTAGGATGGCAGCTGTGTTCTTAGAAGGCAAAGTGGGGACCAGACTGGCCTTCTCAGAATGTGGCTCTGGGAGAGGGTACCAGTTAAAGGGTCCATGTCCTGGATCCCTGCCCTCACTTTGCTCTATATTAGTGTGTGCCTTTGGGCTTGCCACCGTCCCTCTCTGGCTTTGGTGTTTTAGTGTTTACTCAGTGGCCTAGGTGTACTGTCTCTGAGGTCTGCTCTGCTCTTACAAAGAAAACCACTCACGTAAGACAGCACAAGGTGTCTGAGAAATGCCCTGGTCTTTCACAGACATGTAATACAAGTGGCTGCCCTGGCTCTAGGCCATGCTGGCAGCCCAAGTCCTACCCTGCACTGGCTTCTGCTTAGTGAGAGCAACAGCTGTATTTGTTGCTCTCTTGGGTACCTGCTCCATGCTGCCTTTCCATACACTATTCTGTGAAATTATCACCATCACTGCCCCTTTGAGTGAATAGGAACACAGACAGGGAGATTTGTCAGCAATTAGTAGTTTCAGTCATTCTCAAACCATGCTTTCAGGTGACTCCAAAATCCTGCCCTTAAAAAGAAAGCAATAGTAATTTTTTTTTCTGATTTTAAACATAAAGGGCAAGAAATTTGGAAAATATGGATAGGCAAAAGGAGGAAAATAAAAATCCCTCCCTGCAGTGACTGTATTTTGGAGTCACTTTCTTGAGGCAGCTTGGACTTAAGAGTGTGTGTTCGGGGCTATTGCATATGCATTGATTTGGCATGCTGCTGTGTCTAGGGGTCTGCAGATGTCTGGGCTCTGGGGACACATGGCCAACAAGTGACAGGTGGTGCCTTTGTGGAACTTGTATTCTGTGGAATATCAGGTGAAAAACACTGAACACATGAAAAGTGAATAGTTTCCAAGAAAGCTAGTGATTTGAAGAAAACAAAGAAGATGGCATTGGAAAGTATGGAAGGCTGGGGCTGTGGTCTCCTCTCAGAGAGCTGGGTGGGAGCCCTCAAAGGAGGGGGCCTGTAGGACCAGAGAGTGCCAGGGTAGGAGCAGGTCTTCCCAGGCAAAACCCCACACACCTATTTTTAATATAAAGTGGGTTTCTCTGGACAGACGTCTCTGTTGTCTGTGTTTACCTCATCCAACAATGAGCATCTTTTGCACATGGGTCAGAGCCCAGCATCACTGGGAATGCTGTGTGCCACTCCACTGCACAATGCCAAGGGTGTCTTCCAGCCCCAAGAGCTCTCAGAGAACAATCCCACCAGGACCAGGGCTGGATGGGGGCTGTTTCACTCCCTTGCCTCCAGGCCTTTGTCCCCTCCCTGGGGATGGAGAAATGGAGGTGGAAAGAATGAATGGGCCCAGAGCCACCTGCTCAGCCTGGCCTCTTCTTGCACAGACCCAGAACCGGGGCAAGAGGATGAAGGAGGGCGCACACATCAACCGCTCGCTGCTAGCACTGGGTAACTGCATTAACGCGCTCAGTGAGAAGGGTGGCAGCCGGGCGCAGTATGTGAACTTCCGCGATAGCAAACTCACGCGTCTGTTGAAGGTGAGTGCTCCTGGCTGGCTAGGCTGTGTGGGCCTCAGTGGGTGACCGTGTCTCTCAGGAATTAAGTCACCTGTCAGGCCTGAGAATCAGGGTCCTTCCAGGAACCTCTGAAGGCAGGAGAACACCATGAAACTACCCTGGTCACTTGTCCCCATCCACTCCCTGCCCCCAGCAAAGTCCAGCTTTATTTGCAAACCCCTGGTGATGAGGAGCCTACTGCTTCCCTGTGGCTGCTAGTCCCATCCCAGATGGCTATGATGTGAGAAGATACCTCTTTTTACTGATCTGAATGCTGTCACCTTATTCTACAGCAAGGCAGGGTACCAATAAACACATAGGCAAAGCAGTAAATAAATGTCCCTATAAATTTCATCTCTTGGTCTAATCTGCTCTTATCAGAGCAGAAAAAAGACAAGGTGGGCCTGGAATGGGTCCCACTTCATCCTGCAGTCACTAGCCTCTTATTCCCAAACATCATTGGCCCTTTTCAGGATTTGGTCCAGGCAGGTCTGGTGGTGGCTGGGGGAAGGCTTTGCCCTGGCCAGAGGGGAACGGGACTCCCATCACCCCAACTCAGTGGCTTCCACCCAAGCAGGATGCCCTGGGAGGGAACAGCCGCACAGTAATGATTGCCCACATCAGCCCAGCAAGTACCAGCTTCGAGGAGTCACGGACCACACTGCTTTATGCCTACAGGGCAAAGAACATCAAGACACGGGTAAGGTCCCTGGCTTGCTCACTCAGTCACTCCCTCTCTCACTCACTTGCTCATTCATTCATTACTCCTTTTTTGTGGTTGTTGTTTTATTTGTTATTATTAGTTATATATGACAGTAGAATGCATTTTGGCATATTATACATACATGGAGTATAACTGCCCATTCTTCTGGTTGTACATGATGTGGAATCACATTGGTTGTGTGTTCATATATGTACATAGGAACATTCATTTACTCTTGAACTCACTCGTCCATTTACTCACTGATTCATTCACTCTCTTGTTCATTTATTCATTCACTCATTTACTCATTCATTCATTACTTGCTCACCCACCCATTTTCTCACTCATTTGCTAACTCACTCATTCATTCATTTGCTCATTCATTCCCACATTTTACACTTATGCTCACTGCTGGGGGTGGCTGTCATGCACAGACCCTGCAGCTAGATGGCTTGGGTCTCTTTCTGCACTGCTGTCCCTGGCTAGTGACCTCTGTGCCCACTTCCATTGTCTCTGCAGTGGAGAGATGAAATAACAGCCAACCCTTGTAGAGACTTTACCTACCCACATCTGCATGCTTCCTGTGGCTACAGCAATGAGTTACTACAAACTAGGTGACTTCATCTCTCACAGGTCAGAGATGAAGGTGTGGACAGTTCCTTCTGAGCCCCTCTGAAGGCTCTACGGGAGGATCCTCCTCCCCCTTCAGCTTCAAGAGGCTCTGGGAGTCCTGTGGCTTATGACTGCCTCTCCCCATCTCTCTCCATTTTCAAGGGGCCTCCCCTCTTTTCTTTGTTTCTCTCTTTCCTCTCTTTCTCTTCTTGGTGGTACTGAGGATCAAAACTAGGGTCTTACACATGCCAGGAAAGTGCTCTACCATTGAGCTACACCTCGAGCCCTTTTTATTTCATTTTGAGACAGAGTCTTGTTAAGTTGCCCAGGCTGGCCTCAAACTTCAATTGTTCTGCCTCAGCCTCTGAGTAGCTGAGATTATAGGTACGAACCACCACACCTGCTTCTTTTAAAAGGACAATTGGCATTGGATTTAGATTCCACCCTGATTGAGGATGTTCTCATTTTGAGGTCAATTATATCTAAAAGACCATTTTCCCAAATAAGTTCATACTCACATGTTCTGAGTTAGGCCATGGGCACCTCTATCTATGTGCCAGGCATAGCTGTAAACTCTCCCTGTAGTTTAATTTATTCCATTCTCACAGAAACCCTAGGAGGTGTGTCCTATTTTATCTCCACTTTACAGACTGGACAACTGAAGCACATGTCACGTGGAATGTGACAAAACCTCAGGGTCACTCCGGGTAAACTGAGCTGCATGAAATAACCACATAGGAGACAGAGATACGTTTTTCTTTGGGGTCTTGTGATGGCTCCTTTGATCTTAAGGGTCCGCAAAAAGAGAGAGAGCAAGCTCATGCTGAACCCTTTTATTGAGGAGAAGCCATGCAAATGAAGCAAGGGGTCAAGTTTCAGGGGGTTGAGTCTAGCTTTGAGATGTCTACTGTCAGCAGGTTGACTATCACCTAGGAAGGCCACAACCAAAGGCAGAGCAAGAGAAGGGGACACACAAAGGGTGTTTCCATGAAACAGTCTGTCCCAAATAGGGCAAAGGGGTAGTATTACACAGGAATAGGTGAGTGTAGCTCAATGCATGGGGCGACACACCTACATCTGAAGACGCGTCTTCAACCTTCCTGGACCAGGGGAATGTCCAGGTCACTATGAGATGTAGTGACCAGTCAAAGCTTCTCTGCTCCAGGATGGAAGGCAGAATCATTCCGAGTGGCTCTCCACATGCTGCTATGGCAAAGATAGGAGAGAATATTGAATTAAAGGAACTTCAGCAAAGAGGGCTTTCAGGTGAGGTCTTTTGGGGTGACATGAAAGCTGCCCAAGAGACAAGCACCTAAGAACTTCATCACAGAAACAAGAACCCTACCCACTAGACACTCCTTCCCAGCTGGGCTCCCACCATTCTGCTCTCTGTCTGTGGATTTGACTGCTCTAGGGACCTCAGAGAAGTGGAATCATATAGTATTTGTCCTTTTGTGACTGGCTTATTTCCCTGAGCATAACGTCCTCAAGGCTCATCCATATGGTAGCACGGATCAGAATTTCCTTCCCTTTCAAGGCTGAGAATATTACTTTAAAGATTATAACTTAAGCATGTTTATACATCATCTCCCATGCAGTTTTGACCTAGGCCACATGTCCTTTCCACTAGGTCAAGCGCAACCTATTGAATGTCTCCTACCGCATTGCACAGTACACGGATGTCATCTCTGACCTACGCAGGGAAATCGAACACCTTAAATCAAAAATTGAGAAACAAGAGAAGAAGAAAAGCGAATCTGGCGTCCCAGATGTACAAGGTAGTATGAGTGCAGGCCTCGTGCCTTCTGCTGGCCTCAGTGACTTTGTCCCCCCACCAGCATCCCTGACCACCAGACCCATTCCTTCTCCTAGCCTAGGCATGTGGTACCTTGTTCACTATGAGCATCTTCATTCAAAGAGTGACTCAGTGACCCTGCCGTTGGCTTTTGTCCTCACTCAGACACTACCTAACTGGGAACCCATAACCCCAGCTTCAGTTTCTGCTCCTGTAAAATAGAATTGGATTATTTTCTGCTTTTCTCTAATTTTTCAGTTTCTCTTTCTTTTTTTTTAAAGAGAGATTTTTAATACTTATTTTTTAGTTTTCGGTGGACACAACATCTTTGTTTGTATGTGGTGCTAAGTATCGAACCCGGGCCACATGCATGCCAGGCGAGCACGCTACCGCTTGAGCCACATCCCCAGCCCCCAGTTTTTCTTTCTTTGTTTAACATTTCTTCTCCTTTTCTCTTTGTTCTCTCAACTTTTCATTTTTCTAAACTTCTAATTCAGCTTTTTAAAAGATAATCATTTTATTTTGGATTAGTTCTTAGATTTACAATAAAGTTGCAAAGTCAAGGCATTAAGTTTCTAACTTCCCTGATGGTTGCTTCTGATGCCTATTATGTTACTGAGGTGGAATCACTTAAAATAAACCATTTTAAGGTGAACAATCCAGTGACTTTTAGTCCAGTCACAATTTTGTGCAGCCTCTACCTCCAAAACACTTCCATCATTCCAAAGTTACACCCCATGCCTATAAGGCAGTTTTCCATGTCCTCTGTGCTCCACAAGTCAGTTTCATTCAGTTAGTTTCCTCCTAAGTCTGAAAGCACAACATAGTTTGACATTAAGATGACAAAATTTGGGGCTGAGGTTGTGGCTCAGTGGTAGAGCACTTGCCTAGCACATGTGAGACACTGGGTTCAATCAGCACCACATAAAAATAAATAAATAAAATAAAGATATTATGTCCATCTACACCTAAAAAAATTTTTAAAATGACAAAATTTGTCAGCAAGAACACTCAAGCATATTTTTATCAAAGCTGGGTGCAGTGGCATACATCTGTAATCCCAGCAACTCAGTAGTTTGAAGCAGGAGGATTGCAAGTTAGAGGCCAGCCTCAGCAACTTAGTGAGGCTCTGGCCAAATTAGTGAGACCCTGTCTCAAAATAAAGAAAAAGGGCTGGGAATGAAGCTCAGTGATTGAGTGCCCCTGGATTAAATCCCTAGTACAAAAAAAAAAAAAAAAAAAAAACTTCTATTAAAGTCAAATTCAGTAGATATGCATGTACATACATATTCTTTGCTCTGTTAAGAAGGTATGTCAGGGTTAGGGTTGTGGCTCAGCGGTAGAGCATTTGCCTAGCACATGCGAGGCTCTGGGTTCGATCCTCAGCACCACATACAAATAAATAAACAAAATAAAGGTATTTAAAAAAATATGGTATGACGTGCCAAAATTTATAAAGAACTTCTAAAATCAATAAAAAAGAGTAAATGGGGGCTGGGGATGTTGCTCAAGTGGTGGCATGCTCTCCTAGCATGCGTTAGGCACTGGGTTCAATTCTTAGCACCACATAAAAATAAAATATAGATATTGTGTCCACCTAAAAAGCTGATAAATAAATATTAAAAAAAGAATAAGTGGCTCAGTTTTTAAAAAGGAGCAAAGTACTGTCAATTTATAGAAGAATTTATTTTTTATTTTTTATTTTAATTTGTTATATATGGCAGCAGAATGTATTACATGTTACACATATAAAGCACAGTTTTTCATATCTCTGGTTGTACACAAATTAGAGTCACACCATTCATGTCTTTATACATGTACTTAGGTTAATGATGTCCATCTCATTCCACCATCTTTCCTATCCTATGACCCCTCCCTTCCCCTCCCTCCCCTTTGCCCTATCTAGAATTCATCTAATCCTCCCACGCCCCACCCCCCAGAAGTAGGTGGTGGTGGTGTTTTTTTTTTGTTGTTGTTTGTTTGTTTGTTTGTTTGATACTAGGGATTGAACTCAGGGGCACTCGACTACTGAGCCACATCCCCAGCCCTATTTTGTAATTTATTTAGAGAGACAAGGTCTCAGTGAGTTGCTTAGCACCTCACCACTGCTAAAGCTGGCTTTGAACTCACAATCCTCCTATTTTAGCCTTCTAAACCACTATGATTATAGGCATGCACCACCATGCCCAGCTCATAGAAGAATTCTTAGTGACAGTAAACATATGGAAAGATTCTCAAATGCACTAGAAAGCAGAGATGCAAGTTGGAAATAAGTTTCACTTCTCACTTTTCACTTCTCAGACCAGCTAAAATTAACATGTCAGGTAACATGGGCTGGGGCTATAGCTCAGTGGTAGAGCACTTGCCTACCATGTGTGAGGCACTGGGTTCAATCCTTAGCACCATCTAAAAATAAATAAATAAGATAAAAGTATTTTTCCCATCTACAACAAAAAATATTTTGTAAAAAATGCCAGGTAACTGAAATGTTATTAAATAGATAATATAAAATAATGTAAAATCAAGTGTGGAAAGATAGCCTTAAGCAGTGTTATTGGGATTGTAAAATGGGATTGGATTAACACAAGATTGTGTGCTAATGTGTGTCTTTGGGAGCCCTGGTGAGCACAAACCTAGCAGTTAGCCCCTTCATGCCTCTCAGAGAGGACAGGCCCTCTGTGCTCAGGGAAGCTGTGACCAGCGAGCCCCAGAGTACCCATCTCAGGGCTAGAATGAGAATGCTGGGGTGGCCTTCTATGGAATGCTCTGTGCCTGTTTCGTAGGATAGGGTGAGCATCATGCAGACAGATGGCCCCCAGACACATAGCTGGGGAGAAGCACGGGAAGGAATAGGGCCACCGTCTGAGGCTATAAATGAACACCCAAAGCCAAACACAAAACCCCATTTAACTTCATAGACACGCCCATGTCACAACTGTGCAGAGGAAAGACCTGAACCATGATAACCATAGTTATTGGTGAGGAGGGGACTGGTCTGAAAGAGAAGGTGTTCAGATGATCAAGAGGGTCTTTTGACTCTTGATGTATTATTTTAAATTTTAACAACAAAAATATGTTCTCATATTGCTCATGTGAATACAATCATTGTTCTGTATTTGAGGAGAATCGGTTCCAGTCCCCCTAAATATACAAGTCCTCAGATGTTCTGTCCTTTGTGTAAGATGGCATAACATTACATACAACCTACACAATCCTCCTGTATATTTTTAAAGTTTTTTCCTTTGAGATGGGATCTGGCTATGTTGTCCAGGCTAGTCTTAAACCCTAGGGCCCAAGTCATCTTCCTGCCTCAGCCTCCAAGTAGCTGGAACTACAGTTGTGTGCCACCAAACCCTGCTAGTAGCTACTTTTCTTTACACGCTTCTTCCCCAGCCACGTATCTGGGGGTCATCTGTCTGCATGATAGCCCACCCCACCCTCCATAATACCACATTCCATAGGAGGCATCCCAGCTTGCTCATTCCAGCTCTGAGATGGGCACTCTGGGGCTTGTGGGTCATAGCTACCCTGAGAACGGAGGATCTGTTCTGGAAAGGTGAGAATTCTGATGAAGCAGAAGAGCTGGTGAAGGGAACTCAAAGAAGGGATGCTGCAATTGACGACAGGCTAAATTCCCAGGGCCAGTGAGACTTTGAGGGCCAGAGGGACTTCGGGGTGAGTAGAATAGGAAGTGTGATGTTGCAGAGAATTCACTAAGCTAGATAATTATCAAGAAGCTTGGGCTCTGGGGCCAGTGGTCAACAGAGAGTCACACCATGATAATTTCTCTGCTGGCTCTTATTTATTAGAGTTGGTCTAAGGTGGTCTCTTGCTGACCTGAGGTCATGACAGATTCTCCTTAGGTCCTGCTGTGCTGTGGGGCACTGATGTGTGGACTCTGGAACATTACTCCATGAGTGTTTTCTGGGATACCGTGCTCCCCAAATCTTGCTGGTATGGTTGTAGTGACTCCTCTGGACACATCATGATTTATTTCATCAATTCAGACTCCTTGATTTTTAGGTCACGGGGACAGGCAACAAATTACATAAATTAGAGTGCAGCTACCTACTGGGGCACAGCTACCCTGTGGGAAGACCACAGGGCCTGAATAAGGACTTGGATTCAATCTCCAGCAACGTGAGAAAACAAAAACAAAAACAAAAAAGCCATTGATTAATTACTGGTTAACTATTTCTGAAACAGAAAGCATAAGTTTCCTCCTATTCTGTGGAGCTCACAGTCTAGAAGGAAAACAGATATGAAGTATTTATTACAAAATACCACTAATTACAAACATGTAGAGGACTGTGATGGAGAAGCCAGGGTGTTATCAGAGCAAGGGGCAGATGCAGAGTGAGCATCTGGCAGGGTTTTGCTGAGAAAATAAGGTCTAGACTAGAATGGCTAGCCCAACCTTGCCCCTTTTTGAATTACTGAGACTCAAATGCCAAACACTTGACCAGAAACAAGATAAAGAGAGGGTTTTAATCCTTCTAAGTCATCTATTCATTTTTCTATCAGAATAACCATCCATCCATCTACATATCCATGCACCCTCCTACTTACCAGTCCTTCTCCTCCTTCTCCTCGATTTTCTCCTCCTTCCTCTCCTCCTTCCTCCCTGCCCACTCCCTGCAGGGAATACTGGGGATTTAACCACTGAGTCACATCCCAAGCCCTTTTTATTTTTTTATTTTGAGACAGAATTTTGCTAAATTGCATAGGGCCTCACTAAGTTGTCCAAGCTGACTTCCAATCTGTAATCTTCCTATCTCAGCCTCCCAAATTACTGGGATTACAGGTGGTGCCCACTGTGCCCAGGCCCTACTCATCTTTCTACCCACACACATGTGTATTCATGCATGCAACCATCCATCCACCCACCCAGCCAGCCATCTTCCATTCATCCACACATGTATCACTCCCCTCCATGGTGGGTGAGCATGGGGTTCAACCCTGGCTCAGCCAAACTGCTCCTGGTACAGCCATCCCCCTTCCTGCCTGCAGTCACAATCACCCCCCATGATACAGAGGAGGACAGCCGCCTGCAGATGAATAAGATCCGGGCACAACTCATCGGGGCCTTCAAGGAGCAGATGGAGATGCGGCACAGCCTGGTGGAGCTGGAGAACACCAACATCGAGCTGCACATGGACATGTCTCGCCACCTGCTGACCATCGCAGAGTGAGTGTGGCTGCCTGCTGTGTATCCTACACACCCAGCACGGTTTTTCCTGGGCAGGGGTCCCCGCCTGAGGTAGTGGGGACCACTGGTGGGAGCCCTATACATCCTCTCCTGCCTGTGTTGCCCCAGAAGGATATCAGTCAAGGTCAGTCTCCTTTGCCCATTCACCCCCTACTCTTCTGCTCCAGTGGCTAAGCAGAGCCAGGTAGGACAAACTTCCAGACCCCTATTTTCTCTCATAAGCTGTGATTCAGGGTCATCCCTGAGGGTTGGCAAGGATCAACACCATTTTTGGAAGAGTCCTAGAGAGCTATCATCTTGCAGATGGTGTCGCTTCTCCTGGGCCTCAGCTCTTTCTCCCATTGCACGCTTGCTCCCTGTCCATCCCTGCTGAGGGGAGAGTGACCACATTAGAGACTGACCATGACATCCATCATTTACCCTAGGACACATTTGGGGGCAAAAGGAGCACTATTTACCATTACACTGGAACAAGAGGTATCCCCTCAACTGCCCTGCACAAACTAGGACACACAGCTACCCACTATGGGTCATTTAAAACAGCCCTGGGATTTAAATTCATTTCTTTCCTTTACCCTCTACTTCCAGTTCTACCTATATTTATTCTCCTTCCTTTCTGTTTCTTTTCTTTTCTTTTTTTCAATGACACAAACAGCACAAGACTTATATTAGAGGAATTCTAGATTTTAAAAACGTGCTCACAGTCTTGTCCTTCTCTGGCCAGACATCTTCTGCCCTGACTTCCTTTATCCCTTTTTCTTGCATAGTTTCCATGGGATCCTCCTGTTTAGATTTAATGTGGCATCTTGCACAGAGCCCTGAGTTGTCACAGTTATCATCACAGAGCTCCAGAACCTGCAGGCTGTCATCATCCAGCTTTTTAATTTTTTTTTTAGTTGCTGATGGATCTTTATTTTATTTATTCATTTATATGTGGTGCTGAGAATTGAATTCAGGGCCTCTCACATGCTAGGCAAGAATTCTACTTTTGAGCTACAACCCCAGCCCCATATAGCTTTATAGTGAGGAAACTGAGGCTCAGCAGGGGCACATTTAGGGTCAATGTGGCTGTAGGGAGTCCTGGGCAAGCAGGGAGGGAATCATATGTAGAGAAAGATCATACAGAAGATCCAATTCTGCTCCATTTTCATGTCCACACCTGTGAGGTAGCCAGCTGGGGCCAAGAAAGGCTCTGGGACCTGAGGCACCAGGACTCCCTGCCCCTGGTGTGGCTTGCACTCTGTCCCCTCTGCCATGCTACAGCTGGGAACGGGAGAAGACCCACCACCACGTGCCCAGGGACAAGGGTGACCCAGAGAAGGATGAGGAGCCTGCAGATGCTGATGGGGCTGAGGGCGAGTCTGTGGAGCCGCACGAAGTGGTTCTGGCCAGAGAGGAAGTTGGCCTGCTTTTAGCTGAGCAGCGGAAAACTTCGGCCCTCAAGGTGAGGGAGAGAGACGCAGCATTTTCATGGTAACTGGGATGGTGCTTATGGACCAATGGATGGGTGGGCTCTTTGTGAACATCAGCTCATCCCATGGAGTAAAGTCAATCACAATCATTTTAGAGATGAGAAACTGAGGTGCAGATATAAATTAAGTCAGGCATGGTGGTGCACACCTGTACTCTCAGTAATTTGGGAGGCTGAGCCAGGAGGATTGAAAGTTTGAGACTAGCAACTTAGTGAAACCCTATATCAAAATAAAAATAGAAGTGACTAGGGATGTTGCTCAGTGGGACAGCAGGAGAAAAAAAGATGTATTGAGTAAATTGAAGGAGCAGAGCTGGGACCTGACCTGGTCTGACCCAATGCCTTTGCGCCCTCCTGAGGAGTTTTGCTGCCCCAGGGAGTGAAGGGGGAGCTCAGGGCAGGAAGCCTGTGTGTGTGAAAGTGGGGCAGGAGTGGCAGTGTCTGCTTCACTGAGACTCTGCCTGCCTCGCCTTCTCTGGACACCCTGGAATGGCAAAGCTCGCTCATTCCCTTTGCAATAACCCCCATACAGAGCGAACACTTTGTAGTTTGCAGAGTGATTCCATGGGCATCTGGCTCATTCCTCCCCTGATTCTGGTCTTGGGCATGTCATGCAAGGACCAGGGGCACCATCAGAAGGAAGCCACATTCAAGTTCCTCTCCGGAGATGGAAGTCTTTTCACGTTTGAGCTGTTTATATAATAGCTGGTTATCTAATAGTCTCACTTCAGGAAAATTGCTGAACTGGTACATATTAGAGATTCCACAGAAGCATGTACTGTTGCAGCTCGTTAGTAAATGCTTGCAGGTATCTTCTCAGGCAGTGCAAAAAGTGTCTGATGACATCATGTTTGTTATGAGCAGCATGGGGATCATGCAATTTCATTTCAAAATTCAAAGTTGGATTTCCTCCAACTTCTAAAAAATAAGAAAAATGGCTTCTGCCTGAGCCACTAATATGCATCAACAAGAAAGCATGGCTTCAAGAACAAGCATGAATATTGATATGCAATGGAGTCTGTAAATGATAAATCTGTCATTTGACTACTTAGTTAACAGTTAATCAAACACAAATCAATGTTTTAAGTGTTGTTAATGACAGGCCCTAGGGACCTAAAGATGAACAAGACACATTCTATGATTTATGCTCGCACCTAGTGGGAGGAGACGGCATGGCAGTTCAGTACAGCAGCACAGCAACAATGCAGGAATAGGGGCAAGTGAGGGAGGGGAGGGACTGTTAGTGTAGCCTGGGAGTCAGGGAGGTCTTCAGGGAAAGAGTAATGCCCAGTAGGAGGAGAGCAGCTGGGGAGCTGGGCCAACTCATCCAATGTGGTCCCCTGTTGATCCCAATTAAGAAGGTGGCCAGATGCAGCTCCTCAGTGCTTTGGAAACTGTCATCTGACCCATTCCTGGGGACCTTGATTCTGGGCTCACCAGGTGGCTTGGCCCACATGTTACTCTCTGGGGGCCTGGATGGAATTGTGAGGTATGATGGTTACTTTGATGCATTCCCTCAGGCTACAGGATGCAGTGATGCCATCAAACACTGGGCATTGCTCTGAAGGTGTTTTGTAGGCCTGGTTAGCATATGCACTCAGCTGACTTTAGTATATATACACACATGTGCATAGACATGTACACAACATATGTCTATATCTGTATGGGGCTTCTGTGGGTTCAGTTTCTCTGGAGAACTCTGACAGGGCTTCCAGCCCATTTCCTACAAGGGGGACAGCAGTCTGTGGGCGTATAGTATAGGAGCTGGGCCTCGGCCCTTCCTGCTTCCTCTTATGTGCTGCTTGGTTTGGGAGACCCAGAACCTTGGCTGTGGACCATCCATCATACGACAGATGTAGGGGCTGCTCCACAGTGTGAAAGTGGGCATCTCTGTTTCCCAAGGCAACATGTGGGCACATGGTGAGTGGTGAGCCCTGGTGCTATAGCTAAAACACAACGTGTCAATAGGAAACTTGAGGTTCAGTGGGGCTGACGGATCAAGAGATGACTGCCATTAAAAAGTTTGCTACTCATGGTTCCCAAGAAAAGGGGCTTGCTGTGCCATGCAGGGCCACAGGGGGGGCACCAGGGTGGGTTAAGAGGCAGGAAAAGCAACATGGCCAAGGCCTTCACTGTGGTTTCTGCAGGAAGAAACAGTCAAGGAAGGCTAGTAAGGTTTAGGATTGGCTGGCTAGAAAATTTGGGCCTAGGGGCTGTCCTAGTTGTCTAGTACGAGCTCTGGGGAGATTAGGGTAGGTGGAATGTAACCCAGAGTGTGAGAGTCCCATAGAGAGAACTCGTGGATGAGTCGTTTGCCTTGTCCAGAAGTTAACGAGGCTGAGAGGGGCTGCCACTCCAGGATCAGTGAGGCCCCAGGTGTCAAAGTGTCAGAATGCAGAAAGTAGAGGACAGAAAGTCTAGGGGACAGTGGCACATCCTAGAGCCTGCCACCGTGTGTCTCCTGAGCGTGATCAGTAGACCTTGGCACATAGGAATGAGCAGGCCGTGGCTGGCAGGGTCCCATGTCCTCCCTGAGTCCTCAGTGTCTTCCTCAGGCCGGGCTGGAGCAACGCCTGGCCCATGCCAAGCAGAAAGCCTCACAGATGGAGAAGCTGCTGCCTGAGCAAGTCACCAGTGAGGACCAGCGGGAGGTGCTGAGGCTGCTGTGCAGGGCCCATGAGCTAGAGGTGGAGAACACAGAGCTGCAGGCCAACAGCCTGTACTGGAAGAACTTGCTGTGCCAGAAGGACTTTGTGATCCAGCGCTACCACCAGCACCGGCTGCTCTGTGAGCAGGTCATCCAGGAGCAGCGGCAGCTGATGCAGGGTAGGCCACCTCTGGGACGCGCTATTCATCATGGTTGTTTTCTGGAACCATGCCTGCGGTCCAAACCCCAGCAGTCCCCAGTGGCAGCAGAGCAGAGACAGCAGGCAGCTCCTCCCTTCCCCTCTGGGAGCCTGGCCACTGCCAACTCCCTGCGTGTGCTCTCTAGAGGTCTGTACAAAGAGATGGTGTTTGGATGGGGGTTTTACACCCACATGAGCATACCACACGCCCTTACCTTCTTTTTCATTGACTTCTTTTTTATTGAAACTGCCCTTTAAGGGGACAATGAACTGCCTTATCTGTAGAAATGCCTGCACTTTCTTAACCATCCAATTGAGATGTTTCTTCATCTTGTGTTCTGATACCCACCCCTGTGTCTCCTCTTGTTCACATGTTTGTGCAAGTGTGTAGCATCCTGAGTGTGTGCAGATACCATAGTCATCTTGTCCCTGCAGTCAACACTCACTAAATTGCATAATAGTTTTCCTTTGGGGAGATATTACATGATTTTCTTTATTATGAGAAAAAGGCATGAGTTATAACAGTATTAATGAATGTTCTGAAAAAGATAGCAAGTCCCCTATAACTCAACACCTTGCCTAGAAGCAGTGAAATTAATTTTGTCAGAGCTATAACTGTACTTTTTCTTCTTCTTCTTTTTTTTTTTTTTTGCAGTGCTAGGGATGGTACCCACGGCCTTGTGCCTGTTAGGCAAGCACTCTACCACTGAGTTACATCCCCAACACTTTTTTATTTTTATTTTTTTTTTTTGAGGCACAGTCTTGCTAAGTTACCCGGACTGACTTTAACTTGCAATCTTCCTGCCCAAGCCTCCAGTGTCACTGAAATTACAGGTGTTCAACACCACACCTGGCAATTTCCTACTTTAACTTTGTTTTTCTTCATGTCACTGGAGACTGAACCCAGTGGCATTCTACCACTGAGCTACACCCCCTGCTCTTTTTTTTTTTTTTAGTTGTAGTTGGACACAATATTTTTATTTTATTCATTTATTTACTTAATGTAGTGCTAAGAATCGAACCCAGTGCCTCACACACTCTAGGCAAATGCTCTACCACCGAGACATAACTCCAGCCCCCCCTGCTCTTTTTATTTTCTCTTTTAAATTGTGAGATAGGGTCTCATAAAATTTCCCAGACTGGCCTTGAACTTGAGATCCTCCTGCTTTAGCCTCCTACATAGCTGGGGTCACAGGCATGCACTGCGGCACCCTGAACATCATAATCTTTTTATGACTGAGTTATATTCCATGTGTGGATTAACCATTATGTTCACCATTCATCTGTTTATGGGAAAGGGGGTTGGGTCTGTCGTTTGGCTATTGTGAATAAAATTTGTGTTTGAGTTTTTCTTTGAGACATGTTTTTAATTCTTTTGGGTAATCCCTAAGAGTGGTCTTTTAACTTTTTTTTTTTTCTTTTTTGTGGTGCTGGGGATTGAACCCAAGGCCTTGTGTTTGCAAAGCAAGCACTCTACCAACTGAACTAAATTCCAAGCCCTGGTCCTTTAACTCTTTTTTTTTTAATTTTTTTTTTTAGTTGTAGATGGACACAATACTTTTTTAATTTATTCATTTTTATGTGGTGCTGAGAATCGAACCTGGTGCCTCACACAGGCTAGACAAGCAATCTACCACTGAGCCACATCCTCAGCCCCAGGTCCTTTAATTTTTAACTTAAGTTTTATTTGTACTTTAGAATTGTTAATAATAGGGCTGCAATTGTGGCTCAGTGTTAGAGCGCTTGCCTAGCACTTGTGAGGTACTGGGTTCGAGTCTCGGCATCACATAAAAGTTAATACATAAAATAAAGGTACTCTGTCCATCTACAACTAAAAGTATTATTAAGAATTGTTAATAACACTATTTTATGACTGAAAGGCAATATATGAACATAATAGAAAAATTTTAAACTTGGATTGGTGGTGTAGCTCAGTGGTGGAGCACTTCCTCTGCATGTAAGATCCTGGGTTCAATATCCAGCACTGCAAAGACAAGAACAATTTTTTTAAAAGTAGACAGAAGCAAAGACAATGTAACAGAAAAGCCTCTTCTATCAGTTTGGAGTGTTTGCCTTCAAATTTCCCCGTATACAATACTGTCTTATAACAAGTAGTGGACATTTTGCCTGGTTCTAGAGGTTGTCCTTCCTCATTCTAATGTTGCTTTCCTGGCTCCCTCAGACAGTGGTATCCAGGTTCCAGAGTCTCTGGATAAGCAGTACCGGCTGTACTCCCAGGAGCAGAGCGAGGGCACACTGGACCGCCTGCTGCTGCTGCACTCAGTGATGTCTGGGCCCCTCCGGGTGAGTCCTGCTTGCCAGTCATCCCCCACCACCCCCGCCCCAGGCTCAGGCCATAGTCAGCCTCTCCCATCTGTGGCACTGAGGCCTGTTTGTGCCAGGCCCTATGAAACAGAAGAGAAAATTTGGAAACACCCGTAGACCAACTGCCTAGTGCCAGAGCAATAGGGTGGAGGACAGGCCGAGCCACAGGCTGGGGATTCAGGCAGGTTTCAGGATGAGGCCAGCCCTCCCTGGGCTCTGATGGACATGGCTTGGCCAGAGATAGTGGAGGAGGTCCACTCACAGGACCAGGCCACTCTGTTCTGTCTCCTAGGACCTCTCTAATCCTTAGCTATTACCAGCATTTCTGCCAGTGGCAAAGCCCAACAGGGATTCCTGAGTTTCCTTGAGCAGAGGGCCGTATTGCCTTGATGACCTGGAGAAGTGTTCTCTGGGACCCGTGGCGAGATCTCAAGAGTTAGGTCTTTCTTTGCTCTGGGTGTCTTGTCAGGATGGGCTTGGTGAGCTTGCAGGGGAGAGGGCTTCGAGGTAGCCTCTGCATTGGCTATTGAGCGTGAATGCTGCCGTACCTGATCTTCGCATGCCATAAAAAAGGCCTGATGTGCCCAGACCATAGACCCTGGACTTAAATCTCCAGAGGAAAGAAAGAAGAAACTTCTAGACCATAGCCGGGGTGGGCAATGCATGGCATGAGGAAGGCTCAGCCAAAGCACTCCCCACCCTACCCCCTTCCCCTGCTCAGGCTCTGGCAGTACACTGTCTGTGCTTTCCAATGGAGAGCAGGATGAGTCAGGGTGCTGGGCTGCTCTCCTGGGTCTGTGGGCTCAGTTACCCCTCGCATATCTGCTTCCTGTTTGAGAAAAGCCTCTGCTCTGCCCTGCTTCCCCATCCTTTCCAGACATCTGTCTCACTTTGGTTTTTGTCTTTTGTTTTTTTATAAACTTTCTCTTTTAGAGAAGTTTTGGGTTCATAACAAAGTGGAACAGAAAGCACAGAGTTCCCATCTCCCTCACCCCTACACGAACCTCCGTTACCCACACCCCACACGGCACTATAGTGGTCCATTGCTACAATTAGTGGACATGCCAACACATTATTATCACCAGAGGCACAGTTTACTGTAGAATCCATTTGTAGTGTCATGCTGTAGGTTTGGACACTTAGAAGGCAAGTGCCTGCCATGGTATTGTCGTCCAGCAGTCTCCCTGCCATGAACGTCGTCTATGCTCCCTTGCTCATCCTTCCCTCCCCACCAGATCCTGGCAACCACCAATCTTTTGGTTGTTTGCCTCTGTCTTTTTGCCTTTTCCAAAACTATATGGTTGGAGTCATACAACAGATTTTTCAGAGTGGCTGCTTTTACTTAGTAACAGGGATTTAATGTTTCCTCCATGTGTTTTCATGCTTTGATCACTTTTTTTTAAGTGTTAAGTAACTATCCATCAATCATCTGGCTGTTCCAAAGTTTGTTTTTCCATTTGCCTGCTGAGGGACATCTTGGTTGCTTTTAAATTT